TTGAGCCAAGTATGTCGCCATGGAGCAGAAGCATTGTGTTAGTTAAGAAGAAAAAGACAGACGTGTCCACTAAATACAGATTTTGTGTTGATTATAGACCATTGAATGCTGTGACAAAGCCAGACGCCTATCCAGTTCCTAATATAAGAAATGTGCTAGATTATTTGGGAACTAGTAGAATATTTTCAGTTTTAGATATGGCTTCCGGCTATCACCAAATAGAGGTACAGGAAGAAGATAGAGAGAAAACAGCTTTTCCATGCCTCATGGGTCACTACCAGTTTACAAAATTGCCTTTTTGGGTAAATAATGGACCAGCTACATACCAGAGGTGTATGGATCTTATCTTAACAGGACTAAAAGGGATAGACCGAGTAGCCTATTTAAATGATGTAATTTGCTATTCGGCTACTATGGAAGAGCATGCAGAGAAACTAGAAAGAATATTTCAAAGGTTAAAACAGGCGAATTTTGTGATACACCCCAGTATGTGTGTATTCGCGATGGACACGGTAGAATATTTAGGGCATATAGTGACCAAGGAAGGAGTCAAATCAGTCCCTGGGAAAATACAAGTTGTTAGAGATTATCCGACTCCCTGTACAGTTAAGCAGGTTCGGGCTTTTGTAGGACTAGGCGTCATGTTCGCAATTTTGCAGAAATTGCTAAGTCCCTGACGAAGTTAATTAGGAGAGACAGTCCCTTTGAGTGGAGACCTGAGCAACACGAGGCTTTTGGTAAGTTGAAAAATATTTTGAGTCAGGAATCCTTGTTGATTTATCCAAATAGCTTGTGATGCATCAACCAAAGCATTTGGGGCCATGTTGTCACAGGTTAAAGACTGAGAGGAACGGCCAGTGGGGTAGTGTAGCCAACAGTTGAACTCCGCGGAATCCAATACAGCATAACTGAGTTAGAATTGCTAGCGTTGATTTTTGCAGTTAAACAGTTCAGACGTTATTTCTATGGGCGACAGTTTAAAGTATATACGGATCATAGGGCTTTGAAATGGCTGTTGAATTTACAGGATCCTAGTTCTGGATTGACCCGTTGGGCAGTGAACTTATCTGAATATGATTTTATAGTGGAACATGGACCAAATTCGAAAATGAGGCACGCTGATGCCCTTTCACGGTGTGTACAAGTAGTAATGGGAGACTATTCATTGACGAAAGATAAAATAAAGGAAGCAGAGGAAAATGATTTATTATGTGAGAAATATAATATATCTGAGAAATTTTGGTTAGATGAAGACCATGTGTTGTATTATGAAGGACAGGAAGGATATCCACTTGTTGTAATTCCAGGGACACTAGTTGGAAATGTGCTGAAGTGTTATCATGAATTAACATTTACCGCGCATCAAGGCATTGCAGGGACCATTGCCGCTATTAGACGAAAATAGTGGTGGGAGTCTTTAAGCAGAGATGTTACAAAATATATTAATGCTTGTGAAGCACGTGCAAAGAGGAAAACAGGGATAACATAGTCGCACCCCTGGGAGAATCCTTAGAAACGAAGGAATTCCTGGATATAGTATCATTGGATGTGGTAGGACCACTCTCGGTTACGGATAAGGGAAATAAGTATTTACTTACATTTGTTGATCATTTTACGAGATTTTGTGATGCAATCCCCATTCCCACACAAGAAGCAGAAGTAATAGCCAGGAATTTGCGATGAGTTATTACCCAGTTTGGGGTCCCTAAGAAACTGTTAACAGATAGAGGAGCTGTGTTTATGTCAGCCCCGATGAAGGAAGTTTGTAAACTGCTAAAGATACAAAAGGTGCAGACCAGTAGTTATAATGCTCAGGCGAATGGAATTTGCGATCGGATGCGACATGATTTCGCACTTTGTATATAAAGATGAGAAGAGCTGGGACAAGTATGTTATATATGCAGTAATGGCGTAGAGGTGAACGGAGAAATTCATGGAGGTAGACCTAGGCCCACTGGGGCTGTGGTGCCAAGGGGAAAAAATGGCGTATAGAGCCACCCCACACTGTACAGTAAAGTACTCCCCGTACTACCTGGTATGTGATAGGAATTTGAGGCTTCCAATAGAAGGTGATTGGAGACCGCAACGGCAGGAAGAAGCCGGAAACAAAGGAGATTATGACAGACGTGTCAGCGAATTATCCATGAGGTTATATGAAGCAAAGAGGGAAGCTAGGAAACAGTCCAAGTCGAGTCACGAAGTTGCAAAGAGGTACTATGATAAGAGAACTCGTGGGGTTTTATTGAAAAAGGGAGATTTTGTGTGCTTGTATAACACTATAGAAAAGAGGGGAAGAGCAAAGAAATTTGAGTATAAATATCAAGGTCCTTATATGATATTAGGAAAGATATCTCCGTTAATCTATAACTTACAAATAGAAGAAGCTAAATCCATTGTGGTACATGTAAACAGGTTAAAAAGAGCCAACATAGGCCCGAAAGTAAATAGAAAATCGTTAGAAACAGAGAAGCCTAGATTAAGTAAAAAGGACCCGTCTCTGAGTGAGAGCAAAGTAACAAAGGAATCCCGAGAGGAGGGAAAAGAAATACCACCGAGTAAATTAACCCGTTGTCGTGGTTCGTCGTGTATGTTTCGTCAGGGATTTAAATCGTCTGGAGGGGTTCGACGTGTATGTTTCGTTCAGCTGCACACCTATGTTATAACGCCCATAATAATTGATGGTTTTGCTGTAGATTGTTAGATTTTTCGCTGGCCTGTTGTCAGTAGAACAGAGTATAAATAAGACACGACTTTATCTGCGCCAAGTCATCGTTACATATGCCTGTCTTGCAGCAAAGTTCCTGTGGTTCTGGCGAGCGGTTTCTAGCTGTACTGTTATGAAAGCGTGTTTTCTTTGCTTTGAAGATATAAACAGAAGAGACGTGATGTTTACTGTTGTATATGATATCATATTGCCCTGAGCTGGCCACATTGACACACTCAACTGGAATTCTTAGAATAGGGTTGTCCAGAAATTTATTCTCGCATGATCCATTGATTTCGCACAGTACAAAGGCCCAGTTCTGAGAAAAACGCCACAATTTAAGGCAGAACACTGTGGTCACCCCCTGAGACGATACGGATGTGTGTGGGGGAGGGAAAAGAACTCATTCCTTCGCTCATTATCGCTCCAGTTGACTCCATTTTATCGTACTGACCTTGGTGGTCGTTTCGAGGGATGACCATAAATATTTTTTTGAGCCAGCTAAGCTCTACTTTCGTTCACTACATACCAGACAGTTCTTAGAATAACTTCATGAATTCTGTGGTCACCCCTACGACATCTCCTGCCGCCAAAATGGATGGAATATCAAAGGCATAGCAACAACCCCTTGTTATGATAACTCGTAACGTTGAATTTACTACAGCTGACCTGGCAACTAAACGGGTCACGGAAAGACATTTCCTTGAAGTATACCCCTCACGGGTAAGAAGGCAAGGCCGCACATATGTGTGGTTAAAAAAAAGGGCCAAAAAAAATACACAATATTGGAGCGGAGAATGGTGAACGTGGGGCACCGTTGGGTTATACGAATGCTTCAAGGCCTTCCTTCTACTAAACCAACTGCCTCCATTACCGAGATACAGGGCGCTCATATTATAAGGTAAGGTTATAAAACCACCATTTAAGATCATTTTAGTGAAAGTTTCATCCTTCAAGGCGTACCATTCACTGCTGAAATACTAAACAACCTGCTTCCATTGCCGAGATACAGGGCGCTCATATTATAAGGTAAGGTTATAAAACCACCATTTAAGATCATTTTAGTGAAAGTTTCATGTTCCTATCTCATAGAATTTAAGAACAATGATGAATAAATAATTTTCGAGCAAAATTTAAATGGCCGGCTGAATATATTACCGCAGGAGCCGCGGCCGCGGAATTTAAATGACCACGTCAAAGGGTTAAGGGAGGTAACTGAAAATGAAGGTAAGGACACAGAGGAAGAATCATCAGAAGCAAGCTCGACTCAGGAAGGTCAGCGGCATCCTGAGTAAGATCGAACCGAGACCCATGTTCCGGAGGGGGGGGGCATAGCCGATAACCCAAAGTGGCCTAGACGAGAGCTGGCAGACCACAGGCCTCTACAGTGACGAGCAGAAAAATGGTGTCCTCGTACTTTCCAACATTTTGTAAGTAGAGATCTGTCTTGTTAACTTAAATAAGTGAGAGAGGTACTTACAATCCTACCAGATTGAGTTAGATCAGCTATGTTATTCTTTTACTAATGTAAATAAATATTATTGTGTGTTGTTTGATTAGAACAGAGAAATGTATTTTTATTGATTCGGGAAGGGACTTCTATAGGGATGAATCCTCGAGCAGGTATCCTATACCGCACTACTCCTGGCATCATTACAATGGAAGTTGATCCTAATATTGAACGTAGCCTTACAATTCGCCGAACGATAAACAATGCAATTCGTTGCTACAAAGAAATGTACAATTTTTAGAGAATAAAAAATTAATTGCGAAAACATGATTTTTTTTAATTATTTCTAATAAAGACCTTTGAATTTTATAATTGTGTTTTATTTATTGAAAAACGGAGAATATTTTGGGAACCAATTATCATTTCTTGTACGTATTTAGTTCCTCGATTAGTTCGGTTTCAAACAGTCCGGGATATTGGCGGAACTGATCACCCGGACTATGCGAGGTATTGCTGTACTTTCATTCAACACTCTCATTACTGATACTATTCCATTTTTCGCACCATTGTGTCACAATAAAGAATTTTACACACCAACACCTACAAGGTGTGTCCAGGATCTGTTAGGACTCTTTTTTTTTTAATTTTGTCCTTCAATGTCATCTGTTGCCGAGTTGTGGCGTTAATCTTCTTGAAGTTTCAGTTGTGGCTGTCTATAATTTCAAAGCGAAAGCATCGCTGCATCATGTGCTCTGACCTTGAATGTAACAGTACTGTTCTGACACTCGTCGGAAAATGGCAGTTGAACAGAGAGCCAACAACAAATTTGGTTTGAAGTTAGGCAAAACAGCCGGAAAAACATACAAAATGACGAAGAGTGTGTACGGTAGTGCTTGTTTGAGTCGCTCGAACATCTTTCGATTGTATGCTGTATTTCCTGACGGCAGGGAGGACATTCAAGACGCTCCACGTGCATCAAACCCGAGAACAAGTCGCATTGCAGAAAATGTGAAAAAAGTGACCGAAATCCTGGCATCAGATAACTGTATTTCTGCCAGACTCATCGAGGAGCTTTTGGGAATACAAAAAAGTACTGTGCATCAAATTTTGACCAAGGATTTGGGCAAACGGAAGGTCTGTGCGCGGTTTGTACCGCACGCGCTGTCAGGCGATGAAGAACATGTCAGAGTGGAACACTGTGTGGGATTTGTCAATACTCTAATGGACAACCAATACGGAAAGTTTGTGGGATGTTCCCACATCACTCCCCCGCTCGCGAGAATTGATGCTCATAAGTTCAGGCGATCGGGGAAATGGATGTGGCGCCCGGAGCGTGTGGTCCTTGTAGGGACCTGTGCAAGAAAGTAGCTGGGGAGGCGTGGCATGCTGCTGGGACTGGCCGGAGGCGGGCCATGTGCTGGCGGAGCTGTGGTGAGGTGCGCTGGATCCACGGGGTCGGTAGCTGGAGTGAGTAGCTTGCCCGGGATGCTTGAGGGCTCGCCGTACACGAGCTCAGCTACCGATGCTTGCAAGTCCTCCTTCAATGCAGTGTGGATTCCTAGGAGAACCAGAGGAGGCGCCTCAGTCTACTGTTAGTCCGCGTGGCACATGATGGCTGCCTTCAGTGTCCAGTGGAAGCGATCCACGAGTCCGTTAGCTGCTGGGTGGTGGGCGGTTGTACGTGAGAACTGGATGCCGCACAGCCTCTGGATACTGCTGCTTGCGAGCTGTCTGCGGCGTCCATGTTGAGTCGGGGTCACAAATGTGGGATTTGTCGATACTCCAATAGACAGCCACTTCGGAAAGTCCGTGGGATGTTCCCACAACTGCAAAGACATGTTACGGTCGGCGCAAAGTGATACAAAATTGACAAAATCGATTGTTACTGGTGATGAGACATGGTGTTTTCAATATAAGCCTCTCATAAAGTGGCAGAGAGCAGTGGTTGAGCCCAAAGAAGCCGAAACCAAAGAAAGTGCGCATGCAAAAGAGTCGAGTAAAGACACTGTTAACAGTTTTTTTCGATATCAAAGGAATCTTTCATAAGAAATTTCTGCCAGAGAGTCAAACGGTGAATTCTGATTATTATATCTTAGTCCTCAATCGTTTGTGGGCGAGAATTCTTCGAATTCAACCTGAATATCGCTCCTCCACGACAATGTCCCACCCCACAAATCGAAGATTGTGGCGATTTTTGGCCAGAAAAGGGATCGCAGTCCTTGATCATCCCCCGTATTCGCCAGATTTGGCTCCAGCAGATTTCTGGTTGTTCCCAAAAGTTAAGTTGACGATGAAAGGAGACCGTCACGACACCATCCAGGACATCCGAAGGGAATCTACAGCAGTTTTAAACGCGATTCCACAAAAGGAGTAAGGGACTGTTTTCTAATACTTTTCAGTCCATTACAGCTATGTATAGACTATTTTGAATAAAAGAGTGAAATTTTGAAAATAATTCATGTCTTGTATTTTTAATGAACACAGTCATAACAAAACCCGGACACACTATGTAACACCTTTTCTTTGCTACCGAGCTCAACAGACTCAACAGCGCCAAAGACTAAGCCCCTATCTGTGGTAGCACGTGGTAATTCTGCCGAATATATAGCACTCTATCGGCATGATACTGAATCATTACAGGATTTGTACAAAATTTGATTGAAAGTACAATGAAATGAAGTTGTAATAAAAAATTTATAATTCATTATAATCTTATAACGTGGAAATAAATTTTCTCTATCAAATGACGTGCATTGTTATTTATTTCTTTTATGAAATATTGCTATATTTATACTAGTACTACCCAAACTACAGATGGCATGAAAACGTGGTTGGGTGTACTATATAAGAAATCTCATTAGTAGACTTAAGCGTGGAAGAGATTGATTCAGATTGGTTGTTGAGTTAGGAGTGAGGTCGATGAGTGAGAAATTGTCTGTTCGACAAGATTCGAGATTGGATGTGAAATGTGGAAAATTTTGGTAATTGAAATTTGGATTGTGCATTACTGAGTGAATTATTAGTGTGTGACTTAGGCAACATTGCTTGTGGGTTCACTGTGGACAGTGAGTTGTGTCTTAGTGTCTTGTAGACTTGTAAGTCAAAAACCGGCTGGGTTGTTGAATCTGTGTCGAGCCAGATATCACTAGCATCCCTGTGCCGGGGTACCATGCATTCTGGGCCGAAAAGCGTGCCGCTCTACAGGCCGAATTTAAAGAAATTATACAGCAGTACCCAAATGCCGAAACCCAATACAGGCGCTTATTCGACATCTTGAGCAGCATTGAGTACGTGGCCGGCTTCACAACTGCTGCGGTTGGAGAAAGTGCAGAATGGTCGGCAATAGTCAGCGTCACCGACGACAATAGGATTAATTACTGCAAGTCCCTCTCCGGCAAGACACTGTTCAGTGCACTGTATGAAAACTATACAGTTACGCTGAACGAGTAAAGTCCCTGGTAAAGGACAGCGCATCAGGCACTAAAATTCCAGCCCGGGAGGAAGGCATCAAAGAAGTCCGGAGGCGGAAACGACAGAGTACCGCTGAATCCGCACCGACTCCAAAGAAAGCAACCCCCAATCAGAGGTTACCACCAAGAACTACTTCGCCCCCCTCAGGGAGGCAACGATGGAAACGAACACTTCTGGTGCAGAAACCACTGCGCTGGAGGAGGAAGCTCCAGTTAAAGCAGGTAGGACTCTCCCGATAATACTAAAGTCCACAATACATCTAATTCAGTTTCACAGACAACTGAAAAATGTGGTGAAAGGCGACATTGAGTTCCGTAATACCAAAAACGGGACCAGAGTCATCACTAAAAGCATGGCGGATATCGAAGCCGTCAAGTCTCATCTATCCAACAATAAACTTTCCTACTATACCTTCTTTCCGAACTCCCAAAAACCTATAAAGGCTGTAATCCGTCAACTCCAACACAATACCCCTACGGAGGATATTTCTGATGGACTGGTGACCCTGGGATTTGATGTGGTTAGGGTCAAACAGAAAGGATATCAAGAAATCTTCCACTCTTCCTTATCACCCTTCCCCGGACGGCAAAATCTCAAGAAATTTTCTATCTGCAATACCTTTACCACATTTCCATCCGGGTTGAGGCATATAGAGCATAGAATGGCCTTACGCAGTGTCACAACTGCCAACAGTTTGGCCACGTCTGGGCTAATTGTAAACAACCTCCCAGTTGCATATGGTGAGGGGGTGGCCACCTGCACAAAGAGTGTCCAGAGAAAGAGAACACTGCCTCCACTCCAGCTTGTTGCAATTGCCAGTTGAAGGAGAGAGAGAAGCCCCATCCCCCCAACTATCGGGGCTGCAGACACGTGAAGGAGGATCTGCAGAGGAAGAAATCACAGAAGGAACCCAAAACCACAACGGGATGAGTGTTCTCCTCGAATATCGTTACCCCTGGAGTTTCCTTCGCCGCGGCGCTCCGAGGCAGCACATCACAGGAGCAGCGACCTCAGACTCGCCAACTTCCAGTGGCAGTTCCAGCAGCACCCACAAAACCAAGCGTCCCTGTCCCTGTACAGGAACAACAAACAGGTCTGTCAGTTCGGGCTCCAATTATGAACAGTCAATCTCTCGACAATATGTTGAGAGTTGTGACTCTAGTGCAGCAGATTATGACAGGGTTCAATGGTGCTGTGTCAGACGAAGAGAAAATTTTGGCAATCACAAAAATTGTATTTAACCTAATGAACCAAAATGGCTACTAGAGTCCATAGGGCCCTCAAATCATAGCATTTAATGCAAACGGCATTGGGAGGCAGCGCTATGAGCTCAGTAAACAGCTGCAAGACCTACACGCAGATGTGGCCCTGTTTTCAGAGACACATCTGAAACCTCATGAGAGGTTCTTTATTCCAAATTACCACTTTTATAGAATTGACCACCACTCGGGCAGAAAAGGCGAACTGCCGTTACAGTAAGAAAAGGCATTCCCCATAACCATGTAGACCTACCACCCCTTGTTTCAGTAGAAGCGACAGGGGTCTGCATACCAATTGGTAATAGCGAAGTACAGTACTGCTTGCAGCTATTTATAAATCTCCAGGCAGAGCCTGGTGTGATGCCGACATCAATGCGCTCTTAAGCTTTAGACGTAAGACTATTTTGGCATGTGATCTGAATGCTAAGCACCCATTTTGGAATAGCAGAGTTTCAAACCCCTCAGGCTTGAAACTAATGGATTTAAATGATAATAGTGATTTCGAAATCTCAGCGCCACAGTGCCCCACTCATTATTCCCCTGCGGGAAATGGTGATGTGTTAGACATTGTGGTTCACAAAAATATCGGAGTGTCAGATGTCATCGTCTAAGATATTTTGGATTCAGTTCACCTACCACCAATATTCCACATACTGGATCATGCTAAGATCAGGAACCTTTCGGAACCTATTGAGAAATTTACAGATTGGGAGCGGTTTCAAAGCCTCGCCTCTGAATTAATATCATCTAAACTAGAAATTAAGTCAGGGGTAGAAGCCGATAAAATGGCACGCGACTTTGCAGCCTCCATTGCTTCAGCATATAGGTTGTCGACAAGTAAAATTACACTTTCGGACATAAACAACGATCTTCCTGGTCTAGATCGTTTGATAAAATGTAAACAGAGGCTACGAAAACTGTGGCAAGAAACCAGGGATCCAGCGTGTAAAACGGCAGTCAATTGGATCACCAAATCAATCAGGCGAATGACCCGTAGAATGGCACTTGAACGGTGGGAAACAAAAATAGGTAACGCTGAAGTCACACCTCAGAGTATATGGCCCATTGCAAAAACTCTCCTTAAGAGAGACGGACCAAGGGCACCAACTGCTATTCATGGTTCTTCTGGCCTTAAATTTTATCCTTCTGAAAAAGCCAACGAAATTGCCGACTGTTTGGAAATTCAGTTCACGCCACATGACCTGTGCGACGAAAACCATGAACAGGGGGTGGAGGCTAGAGTTCAAGCACTGCTGGAAACCGTAGACGACAACCTCCCTCAAAGGATCAGACCATGTGACGTTCAGAAATTAATAAAATCCCTGAAGTTAAAAAAGGCCGGTGGAATTACGGCATCCCAAATGAATGCCTCAGGCACCTTCCAAGGCGACCATTGGTTCATCTAACCCATTTATTTAATCATTGTTTTCGGCTTTCTCATTTTCCAAGTTCTTGGAAAGAAGCAAAAGTAATAACTTTACCCAAACCCGGTAAAGACCCGAAATTCCCACAAAATTTAAGTCCGACCAGCCTCCTGTCCAAGACAGGAAAACTATTCGAAAAAGTAATTATGAAATTTCTACAAAAACATATTGAAGAAAGAGGCCGATCAACGCAAGTCAGTTTGGTTTTCGTGCACGTCACAGCACGACATTGCAATGTATGAGGCTGGAGGACAAGTCTAAGGCTGCAGTGTTCTTGGACATCGAAAAAGCCTTTGATACCACGTGGCACTCAGGCTTGCTGTATAAGTTATCAAAATTGGAATTCTCTGTTTGACCAAGATTATTGGGTCCTTTCTTTCTCAGCGTACATTCAGGGTCTCGGTTGAAGGCGAAATGTCAACGCCAAGGGAAATGCGAGCAGGGGTGGCACAAGGTTATGTCCTTTCCCCTACTCTTTCCAACTTGTATATAAATGATGCCCCCCAAACTCATGGTGTTCACCTTGCCCTCCTTGCGGACGACACCTGTCTATATGCGACAGATCGCAAGGAGGGTTTTATTGTTAGAAAACACCACCGCGGTCTCAGCTCAATGGAGACCTGGTGTGAGCGCTGGAATATAAAAATTAACGAAGATAAGACTCTCAGGGGGTCTACTTCTCTCGTGGGTATCGACCGCCTGAGTCTTGTCTTACTCTTAATGGACGAAATATTACATTTGTAAATAGTGCAAAATATCTAGGTGTAATCTTCGATAAGAGAGTTACATGGAGATTACACATAGAAATGATCGAAGCCAAGGCCTTCAGAACGATCTTTAGAGTATATTCCCTATTCAAAAGTAAGCGATTGAGCGCTAACATTAAATTGACCCTCCACAAACTCTTATTAGATCTGTAATGACTTATGCTAGTCCCGCCTGGGAATTTGAGGCAGACACCCATCTACTGAAATTGCAGCGCCTGCAAAACAAGGTTCTCCGCACCATTGACAATTTTCCAAGGCGCACACTGGTCCGCGAATTGCACATGGCATTAAAATTCCATACATGTATGATTACATAATAAAGATTATATTTAAGCATCCTGTTGCACTCTATACAATAAATGATACAAACTCCGTCCCAAGTGCAAACAATATATATTATATGTCTTTCATCTTGTTCTCTTCTACACTACATGTTTCGGCCTCTATCAGCCATCATCAGGTGTATACTCTTAACGTTGCTGCCACACTGAACCCAGTCTAAAATTTAACATTTAAAAACACATTGTTATTTTCTTCGTATTATGAACATCTACCTCACTGATATGTGTCTGGTATGTTGATTATATTGCACACATCAAATTTGATTTACCTGTAGTAGCACTATAAAATCTTTAGTTATGATTTTAAAATCCTTTAAAATTTTCTCTAAATTTTAAATTTAAAATTTATGGAAAATTTGATTTCCCTGTAGTAGCACTATAAAATCTTTAGTTATGATTTTAAAGGATTTTAAAATCATAACTAAAGATTTTATAGTGCTACTACAGGGAAATCAAATTTGACATGTGCAATATAATCAACATACCAGACACATATCAGCGAGGTAGATGTTGATAATACAAAGAAAATAACAATGTGTTTTTAAATGTTAAATTTTAGACTGGGTTCAGTGTGGCAGCAACGTTAAGAGTATACACCTGATGATGGCTGATAGAGGCCGAAACATGTAGTGTAGAAGAGAACAAGATGAAAGACATATAATATATATTGTTTGCACTTGGGACGGAGTTTGTATCATTTATCACATTACATAATAAAATTATGCAGGCAACAAGCAGAAGTCATACAAAATCATGAAAATGAAAATGTTCACATTATTGGTCCAGGTGATGTGTGACATAGAAAGTATATGAGACTTAAACTTGGTGGCGATCAGGCATACGGCTGTTCAAGTCTAGACTGCCGTGGTAGGAAATAATACTAGAAATGTCGCATAATCTGCTATACAAAGCCTGGATTGACAGGGACCTTGTATATATTGTACACAGAAATAGTAATTAAGACTAGAATTAAATTGTAAATACATATATGTCAATACTGACAATGGACTGACTAAGACTGACAAATGACAGACCCGACCTCTCATCAGAGAGGTCGCCCCAAATAGACAGGACAGCTTCTTTCACAAAGAAGAAAACATCTGGTCATGATCCCCACCTGGGGCTCGACAGCAAGACAGACACGCTGGCTGACCGTCAGTTGCAACATGACTTTGACTTTGACTTTTTGACTTAAGCATACTCGCTTCGGTCATACATATACTAATATTGGAATGATACAGAGAATATTAGCATGGCCCTTGTGCACGATGACATGCAAAATCGTTAAGTGTTCCACATTTTTCGCTTAAACATCAGACTTAATTTTACAACTGTATGATAGTATATTGTCCCACAAAGACTGCTACTTATATTTCAGCAAGTTTTAAGCACAACATAAGAACAGTACATTTAAAATTTCCTTTATGAGATTTCAAGTTCTCATTATTCTAAATATGGTAATTTTTTTTTTTGTGCTGTTATGCCATGTACCATTCGTCAACCCAGAAGACAGATGCAGCAAGTTTCTCTGAAATGTTAGTACCATTCTATGGAACTATAAAGCATCACACATCAAAGATTGTAACAATTTCTTTTACCTGATATATGCCCTTTTTATCACATGTACTAATTGTATTTGGCTTGGGGTCCTAACAGTATTTTTTGAGGCAAAACATGTTCTGAAGGCAAAAGGTTAGAAATGTACCTACCAAAAGTTCAGTTTCTCTGTAGTTTATGTAATACTGCTGTAGAATGACTAAATGACAGTACATAATGAACTGAAGAGAATTTGGAAGCAGCCATGGCCTAATTTAAGGTACTATCCCATAATTTCCTTACACAGCCTAGAAGAAACACTAAGTACCTCAACCAGGAATAACCAATGTCGCAACTGAGATTCAAACTGGACACATCCTGAATATCAGTCAGGAACATTACCACTTCAACAGGCTTGCTTGGTCTGTATTTGATAAAAAGTATCTCAAATGTAACTGTCTTACTTGCAACTGGGCACGTGGTAGTGTAGTTGGTTGAGGCACTATGCTGCAAGCTAGAAGGTTGAGGGAACAAATCCTAATGAGGTGGATTTTTTCAATTGACCTAATCCTTCCAGCTGCACTATGGTACTGGGGTCAACTCAGCCTTTAACTGAAGTGAATACCAGGAATATTCTTGGGGGTTAAATGTGGCCGGCCCATAACGCTTACGACCTCAACGCCATCTGTGAGCTGATTATCTAGGAAATGTGGGAACCTGAACATCTCACAACCCTATGGGCCTCCACGGCCTGCTACAGGGATATCTTTACTTTTTCTTTCTACTTACCTGTAACTGTGTTGCAAAGCGATTTTCCCTCCCTGTGTAAGGTAGTGGGAACTAAAGTAAGCGGCCTTATTGAATACATTATTAAATTGTACAATTATTAACTCCATACAGAAGAATCCTTCTTGAGAACCTAATAGTTGTTTGTTTGTTCAAAAAATTATTTTGACCTTTCTGTAACCTGAAATTCATTAAAAGCTATTAAAAATATATATGCAGGTGGGTTTGGGGTCTGCATGCCAAATGAAATATTTTATATTAGGCGTATATCCTGCTACAGTGTAGAAATTGGGCGTGTGTTGCGTAGGTCTTGTTGCTAAAATTCTACGAAAGAAGCCTGGTATGCGAAGCCCAAAGACACGTTTTCAATGATGTGCAAGTTTGGTGGTATGTGGGTATTTGGTATGGTATTCTCATGCTTTATGTCATATATATTTGTAATCGTGAAAAATATATAGGTAAATGTGTGTAATGATTAAAAATATAGGGGTTTGTAAATAGAGTGATATTACTTATGAAACGTGCAATGTGGCGTATGTTTCTTGTCTGGGCATATACACCTTCGGTGTGTTCGACACTGTACAGTGGTTCGACGTAGATTGTTTGGGGATGATGGTGGTGTATTGAGTTTGGTGTGGAGGGGGAGAAGGGGTTGAATATATGTTATGAGTGTGTGTGTGTGTGGAAGAAGGAGGGGGTGTGATGATAGGAATACGAGGGGATGGGAATGTTATGCAGATTTATTAATTGAAATTATTTATTATAATGTCAAAGATAGGATTGTGCATGTGTGTGTGTGTGTGTGTGTGTGTGTGGGCGGGGTAGGTACCTGGACTTGTGTTCTTACAACTACTTTGGCTATTGCAACGGTTTTGGACTGAATAAATTCTCATTCTTCAATTACATTTGAAAATTCATTTGCTTCTATCAATTCTTTGTGTAATATGGTTCTGTACTGTCTCTGCTTTTGGAGATCATGCAATATAATTTTATTCAATTTCTTCATAGTGAATTTCTTTTCCATATAAGCTATGGGTAATTTTTGCCTTATTACCGTTTTAACAAGGTAATGGTCTGAGTCTATATTAGGTCCTCGCATTGTTCTGACATCTTATATACGGTCCTTTTTACTTGCATTAATAATGACATGATCAATTTGATTAACAGTGTTATGGTCGGGTGCTATCTAGGTACCCTTATGTATTTCTTTATGTTGGAACTGGGAACTCATAATTACCATGTTATTAGCCATTATAAATTCTGCCAATAGTTCGCCATTTGGTGAAGTTGCATTATGCAATGTATATTTCCCCGAGATGTTACTCAATATTTCTTCTCTACCCAACTTGGCATTTAGATCCCCTAATATTATTACCACATCACTTCTTGGAGTTTCTTCTAAAGCTCTTTGTAGTTCATCATAGAAGTGCTCTTTGAGGTTTATATCATTATCTTTGGGTGGAGCATAAACACCGATAAGAGTAGTATTGTTATATTTTCCTTTAATCCTAAGCTTATAGATTTTTTCATTTACTGCCTCAAATCTAACAATGTATTTGGCTATTTCCTTCTTGATATTAAAATTCAGTTTCAGCTTGCCCGGATTTTTGGGCACCACTACAAAACAGTTGGAAGTCCTTTTTACTAATAACTCCCATCTCCTGCCCATCTTATCTCTTGCAAGGCCACTACTTTCATTTGTGTTTTGCACAGTTCTTCTGACAGTTCTTGCATTTTCCCAGGTTTCAGCAAAGTCTTAACATTCCAGGTTCCTATCACTAATTTACTTTTTTTATTCCTTAGAACTCGTTTTGGTTGTCTCTGATTGATCTGTCCGGCTATCCTTTGTTGAGCTTTTATTCAGCAATTTGATTTTTTACAGTGCAAGGGAGCTGGCCTTGCAACTAACCTCTGCTACCTTGGAGGACCTAGGATTTTCTGTGGGTTTACTCCCTTAGCCAGTGGGTTCCAATTAAGTGTCGGAATATGGCTTTTTGCCCTTCCACACTTTGCATTCTGCAGAATGTTGCCCGGGGACTATGATGAGGCCACAGTATGGATAGGACTTAGCAGGAATAACTGACATTACCCAGTTTTTGGTAACGTGCAGTCCCTGGCCAGCTGCACATCCTGGGGTCACATACACGATCATTTTACTGAGTGACAATATATGCTGTCCTGTAACTTGTTGAAGCACTATGCTACAAGCCAGAAGGTAGCGGGTTAAATTCCCGATGAGGTCATTGGGTTTTCGATTGACCTAATCCTTCCAGCCACACTATGGCCCTGGGATCAACTCAGCCTGTTAACAGAAATGATTGCTAGGAATCTTCCTGGGGTAAAGGGCCAGCACATAAGGCTGTCAACCTCACCTCCATCTGCGAGCAGATTGTCTAGAAACTGTGGGACCCTCGACATCTCACAAGCCTATGGGTCTATACGGCCTGTTAAGAGCGATAATTTTTTTTTAAATTGTTTCATTTTGGTCCGTTACAAAGCGGCGTTTACAAATTAACCTGCTTAGAATGCCAACAAGTGTATATAGGTCAAACAGGCAGAAAGTTGATAACACGCTATAATGAACATATAAGATGTATAAGGTTCAATAAAGATGACTCAGCCTATGCTCAACATATTTTAAATCGACAACATCAATATGGCCCAATTTCGCAAACTATGGAATTGATTGAAGTGGCAAGGAAGGGTAAATTAATGAATATAAAAGAAGAATATCAAATCTACCGCCACTACAGGGACAACAAATTAATAGATGAGCAGAAACAGGCAAAAGAGATCAATACTCAGAACAGCATGTTTGACCTCATTACTACTTGTACACACACACCCCCCACCACGTCACGATACACACAGCTTTAAATAACATTGACGTGCACTCTCCACTGTAGTACACAATACACATCGCGTAAGATACACCCGACCACAAGGTAAGGCCAGGATCAAATATTATTTAACATTAAATATATAATAATAGATACAACCTAACATAATATAATATCTTTGCAGCCCACACAACCCCGTGCTGACGCCTCCCCCTATTGGGACGATTCACCAAGAAGGAGCCTGAATATTTTACTTGAACGTTTTTTAAAAAAATTTTTAACTTAAAATTTTAACGTTGACGACTCGGTTTGAGGGTGGTTTTTTAGATGCAAGTGCTATACCTGCATTCAAGATACTGGGAAGTGTTGTGCTTTACACTCCGATATATGTAATAGTTTCCACAAATAATTACATACTGTGGATGTTGAGCTGTGCCAGTGTTTTCATGATTTGTTGTAAGTGCCTCTGAAGATGGTTCCTTGGAACCGAAACATGTAAGGCAGATGAGATAAATAAGTGACCAAAATATATATTGTTGCACTTGACGGAAAATCTATTGACAATTGGTGAATTTTTTTTTACCTTTACTTAACATACAGATATCCCCCCCATCTATTAAAACAGAAATTCTACTACAGTGTTCAAAGTAAAAATTGTAACTGTATAACTACTCTGCTTCAACTCTGCCACACACTACTCAGAAATGTAAAATGTACTTTTAAATTAAGACCACACCAATTCAAAAATATATTGTCCTAGAGCCAACATCACAACAATTAGAATAATGTCATCCAATTTCAACCTAGCAAAAGAAAAAATAATTACTAGCTGCCAAACAAATCAAGTTCGCATACATGAATTCATGAAGAACTGATGTGCCCATTGTTTTCTTTTCCTAATATTGTATTTCGGCGTCCTATTGCATTAATATATCATTTATTTCACTTATATTTCCACCTTAAACACAACATTATATAGTCACCCTTCACCATTACATGTTTCGGCTATATACGGCCATCATGAACTGTCTTCTTGCTAAAATTGTTGCTCTGTATGTCAAAATTCCTTATCGCGTGTAAAGGCGTTATTTCCTGATTAAAATAAATTGACCATTAATTAACATCCCAGTATTTCCCTTATGGTCGTTATCCTCTCTTCTCACGCTGTCTCAACCGGACTCTGCTACCACCATATTACGACAAGAGCAATTGTATTATTATCTTCCATTGAAGATGCACGAAATTGAATTATACAATTATTACGATGAACCTTCCACTTCAGGGCGCTTAAGATGTGGGAAACTAATCAAACATAAGTTTCCTCAGTGTACCCCTGCTAAACTGGAAACCAGTTGCCTAGTTGTAATCGGCGACATTTCTCGGAAATTGCGATTGCAACTTTCCTTCGTGCGCCCTCGGCCTGCATCCCGTAAACATAGCTACCTTTTTGTATGTTATCAACGGACACTTTTGACGCTTTTGACTTTATGACCCTTATGACCGCTTATGACGATCATGTTCTACTGTAGTGTATTTACCGGTGCTGCTCTCTAGGTGTAGAATGTGAATACTTAATTATCTAACGTTGGTCGCACTGTATCGCGTGTGCATTGCTTTACTTTTGTTTGTTCAGTGACATCATCAGGAAGGTTTGTGAGCGGCTGCAATGAACTTCTGGTGCAATAAAGCTATTTTGCTTTCGTATGTTCTGGTTTATACTTGAAGAGTGACACTCTTAAGTACTTAATTTGGTTTCATAATGTACGTTACGTACACATTAATTAACTTCCCGAGTGGTGAATAGTGAAGTGAATCCTGTTTCATTTAATTCGAGCTCCGCTTTCCTGTAACGGAAATTTAACGTGGTTACGAAACGTAATGTGTTTCCGGATAAATGCTTTACTGATTGAAACATGCAACAGAAAGCACATACAATTGTAAGCAAATAATTCTTATGTATGCATGATTGAACTTTTTTGAGCGCACATTTCGAATTTGGCGGTGAAAATGGCGAAGTCAAATTTTGTTGATGGAATATGTTTGAACATGGAACACGACGGTCTTTTAAGTGTGCCCGAAGAACGTCTGGTAAAGCTTATTAAGAAGGAACCAATTTCCAACGTTTATCATGTGGAGCAAACGCCATTCGCCAGGTAAGACGCATTTCCATCGCCGCGTCACGCCCCTTTTAAATGGCATTCTGTAATTTAATCGGTGACCTTTAAATTATAACCAGCATAACTATAACTCATCTCGGTGGGATGAAGTTTCAGTAACGATTTTTGCTCGCGAGAAATGTATGTGGCATCATCTGAGTTCTTCATATTTTGTAGAATCGTTGGCTATTGAAATATAATTTCATTAGATGCATAAGTTTGTTTTAGTTAATTATTTTCTTGATCGGGGACTTCATGAATGTTTACGTATTTATTTTTAAGAGAGAACCTTTAATAAAATACTCGAATATTAAACACCACTGTGACTTACCAAACCCAAGAAAATTATTTAACATGTGCTATTTTTACAGTGTTCAGTTTTAATAATTCATAGCAACACTTAATTTACTTAACAATTAATTTGATGACAGAGTCGCTAATGTTTTGCGGAATGCAGCTTATGTGATTGTTTTGTTATTACATCTAATTAAAATTTGTCAGCAACTTTGACTTGCAGTAGGGGCTATTTCTAATATAGGTAGTATTGTTGTAAATTAAATTGTTTAAAAGGAGAACATTCACAGGTGTCTTTCGAAGCAGTTATTACCGCACCACCATTATTTTATGTCGTTTTTTGTGAATGCAGTTTACGTATTTTTCCACTACTTTGAATTAAATTCTGTAGGAATCTTTTGATGTATTCTGTAATATAACCTGCCTACAGCGTATATACTCTTGCCATAAAATGAAATCGGTGTTACATTTGTAGTTTATTTGACGGTATTGTTAGTGTGTAAGAGTTGGTCCACTGGGCTTCTGTAGATATTCTTATGAATCAAATGTATCTACATAACCTTATTTTAAAATAGTGTATGTATCCTGAACTGAATATATCAACTTATTCACCAAAGAAAGATTTATATGCAGAAATCCTCTTACCTCTGAAAGAGATGTAAATCCTGAGTGCAGTCCTCGGCTAGGAAAATTTAGGGTATAGTTTTCAGTAATTGAGATTAGCTCTTTCTAAGGGGCCTAACTCAGCAAGTGTCTTCCTTTCTCACCTGAAGACGGAAACAGATCCAGTTTCTGAAACGCCGTGTCCCCTGTTACCTAAAATTCCGGATGATGGAAAGAGTCCAAAACTCCAGTAATTCTGTGTGTCAACCACCATCGTCAGAACCCTTTAGAATCTTGTTTTCATAGTGTCTTGTCTCTTATCTCAGCATGCTGTTAACCCATCTCTTTTGGTATTTTTATTAGTCCTTGCTCCTGTGAGATATTCATTGATATCCAGAGCCTGCTGTAGTTGTATTATAAGAAGCAATGATTTTATGCACATTATTAAGGCTCTTGCATAAGGATTTTATACTTGACAGCTATCAGGGAACTTCATTGCTGTGGTAATGTAAGCCCACCATTCAGCCAGCCAAAGAACTTCATATCCTCAGAATATCTCAAACGTTATGTTAATATTATCTCTGCATCTGTGTCAGGGTTCATCAGATGGTGTGTGGAGATCCTGAAACCAGTAGTTTGTATGTTTCTGTCCCATGTGTGTTCTATGTGTTTCTTTCATTTTAAAGACAAAAAAAAAGGTAACGTCTCTGTGCTAAGCTAATTAAGCACTACACCAAGAGAGAGTGTAGGGGATGGGATCTTAATTTTTAGGGTTTTAGAGAAACCTGGAAAGGCAGAAGATTCTAAACTGAATTTAAGTATCATTTTCAAGAATTTGATGCCACTTTATCATGAATATAATTTTGATTTCTTGCTGTTCTTGCCTATTTAAACATCATACTTTCATAGGATTTATTGGCATTTCTTACATTATGATTTTATATTATATTCTTATAACAAGAGATCTGCTCTGTTGGAAATCTGTAGAATGTCCAAATAGAATGACTCAACTTTGGTGTTTTGAAAATGTAATCTCTTCTCACCTGTTTGAATAAGTTGAGATGGAATTTGATAAATGCCTGGCAGTTTATCCCTCTTCAGCTTTTCATTGGCTGTTTGAGGCTCATCAGAACTAGAATCAGGTCCTGTGGTGGTGAATATAAATGAAATTAAGGTTATGGTTAGGAATTTGTTTATGAATAAGTGCTATTGGACATTGTCTTCAACAGGCAAAAGACTATCATGGCTGGTACAGTGGATTCTTATTTTAGTGCTGTGGTGTTGCTTTTTAAACGTATAACCTTATGTATTTTTAGTGTTTTAAAATTTGGTAGAGTGGCAAGTGTGTAGTTTAAGATGCTCCATGCATCAGAGGTATAATTTGATGAGCAGGTAATTGACCGAAAAATGTTTTCAAGGTAAATGTAAGTAGTGAGCGTCATAACCTTTCCAGCTCTAGTGGCAATGAAAGCACGGTTTGAATCATGTGTATCCAGAATGGAATGGTATTATAAAAGCAAAATATGTTTGTTCTGGCAAATAATAAATGGTATTTTTATTTCCTAAGAATTTTATGCTTCAGTATTCAGTATTTATTTGTGTATTTATTAATTTGTTGAAAAGGCTCAGTTCCATGTGAGAGGATGTTAATTGTAACATTCCTGACCCATGTGGCTTTTGTATGGAGGACAGTCATATCAGAAAACTAATTGCAGTCATTTCGAACTGTAACAGAGTCAGGTAAAATATATTGTCATATTTCATGCCAGTGAAGAACAAGACTGATTTTACAGAACATATACACAACATTACACTCTGTGCGCATGCTTTCCATATATAAGACAGTCATGTTAGAAAATTGTACTTGGTTAGTTTACAAACAAAGTCACCATTTCGCAACTACTTACTTACTTACTTACTTACTTACTTACTTACTTACGGAGCTGAGCCCTTCTGGAGGAGCCGCCAATTCTGCAGCTACTCAAGAATTTCCCAGCATTCTATGGAACCCGAAGGTTCATCACCGTGTTCACAAGAGTCCTCCACTGGTCCCTATCCTGAGCCAGATTATCCAATCCATACCATCCCATCGTATCTCTCAAAGATCCATTCTAATATTGTCCACCCACCTACACCTTGGTCTTCCCTGTGGTCTCTATCCTTATGGCTTTCCCACCAATATCCTATACACATTCCTTGTATCCCCCATTCGTGCTACATGACCTCCCCACCTCATCCTCCTTGACTTGATCATTCTAATTATACTTGGAGAAGAGTACAAGTTATGAAGCTCCGCCCCTCTATCTTCCCTTCAATAACTTCTATTAGAAGGCAGTTACCGCGTAAGATATGACCAATCCAATTAGCCTTCCATTTTCTTATTTCATGTAGGATATTCCTCTTCTCACTGACTCTAAATAACACTTCTTCATTTCTCACATAATCGGTCCAACTGATGTTCTCCATCCTTCTCCAACACCACTTTTCGAAGCTTTCCAGGTGTTTCTGATCTGCCCTAAGTGCCTAAGTTTCAGCCGCATACAAAGCAATGATCCAAATGTAGCATTTCACTAGTTTCTTTCTCAAATTTAAGTCCAATTTGCTCATAAAAGGATTCTTCTTCTTGCTAAATGCAGCTTTTGCCATGGCAATCCTAGATTTAATTTCACTCGTACACCTTCCATCATCTGTTAACAAGCTACCCGAATATATAAAACATTTCACATTCTCCAGTTGTTTTTGGTCTATCTTTATTGTGACTGGGGTTGGTTGTCTCGAAATTTTCATTACTTTTGTTTTTTCCACATTCATTTCCATGCCATAGCACCTTCCAGTTTCGATTAGTCTATCAATCATACCCTGTAGCACAGTGTCTTCCTTAGCCATAAACACAAGGTCACCTGCATATTTCACAGTTTGAATAATTTGCCCTCCTAATTTGAAGTCTCCACGAGAGCTTCCTTGGTAAGGCATTCGCTGTACAAGTTGAACAAAATTGGTGATACACAGCATCCTTGTTGAACTCCTCTTCCAGTCTTCACACTTCTTGTCTCCCCTCTGTCCAGTCGCACTCTAACTTTCTGATCCATGTACAGTTTACTAATCAATCTTCTTTCACACCAATCGATACCTGTTTCCTTTAGGATCTGCATTAATTTGGTCCAATATACACGGTTAAATGCCTTTTGCCAGTCTATAAAGCAAGCACACAGTTCTTCATCTATCTCCAGAGTTCCTTCTGCTATAATTCTCATCATCCCAATTGCATCCCTGGTTCCTTTTCCTCTTCTAAATCCAAACTGATCATCTCCAAGTATATCCTCTATTTTCCTTTTGATTCTTCTTTTAAGTATCTTTGCTATTATCTTTGCTGTATGTGCAATAAGGCTTATTGTGCGATGGTCACTGCATTTTGTAGCTTTTGTCTTTTTCTTTAAGGCAATCATTGTAACTTCTGTAAAGTCCTTGGGCCACTCCCCAGTTTCATATATGGTGTTTATTAGTTTTGTCAGTGTTTTCAAACCACCTTCTCCCAGTAACTTGAGCACATCTCCAGGTACATCATCTCCTGTAGCCTTTCCATTCCTCATGTCCTTGATAGCTTTTTCCACCTCACTTTGTAAAATATATGGTCTTTTCTCGTCTGTAACTACTACTTCTTCGGGTTCCACTTCCAAGGTTTCTGGCCAATTAGGTCAATCATATAGTTCTGTAATATAGTTTTCCCAAATTTTCAGCAGGTGCCTTTGATCTATTCTATTCCCCTGGGAGTCTTCGATGCCAATATTTTGAATCCCATGATTCTCTTTCCATCCTAGTTCTTTTGTCTACATGTACATCAAATCATAACATCCTGTCCTTTGAAATTCTATAATCTCATTACAT